TAAGTGTGATGTTCAGACTGGTGCAAAATAAAAAAAAAAATACATTTTCACCTAATAAGAAACATTTTCCCTGTAGCTGTCAGGAAAATAAAACCAAACATAGAGAACAATCAAGGTTGTCAGTATTAAGGAAAAGCATTTGTGGTAATGCACATTTTGCTTCCTGCTGAGGCTTGTCAGACTAACTATTCTTCTCTGAAAGGTGCAGGGCACTTGCCAGCAGTGTACTGTGTGACTCTGGTTTAGAAGAACAGTATAATAACACAGTCCATTTTCAGCAGCAAAGAAGGGGGTGTGGATCTGAACTTCTGTCTCATGTAACATGTCACCAAATCTTGGCTTTAGGAAGGCGTATTGGCCAGCAAATACACACACAACTTTACTGCAGATACTATTTAAACAGCTATGTTCTGTCTTCTTTTAAAGAGGCAGTGACCTAAATGGACATCCTGTGGACATATCAGACATTTTTAAGGCCTATAGAGCCACAGTGTAACAGATGCCCTACAGTTTCCCTATGTCCTTCTCTACTGATTTATGTATAGCATTTGATTTGGCTCCATGTAAATAAGAGACACCCTGTCAGAATTGTTCCATTGGGAGCTGGGCAGATTTGTTTCTCTAGAAAACTTTCTATGCTTTCTCTTGGTGATAGGCCAAATTTTACCAGACACTGCAACAAGGTCATAGACATCGGTCTGTCCACCTCCCACCTGTCTAATGGCTAGCTCCTGCTAGTGCCCACCTCTACTACAGGGACACCTTATAGTAACCCAAATGTTCCCTATTAAAACCAGTTTCATGGTCAATCTTGAGTAAAAAAAGAAAGAAAAGAAATTACCTTCGTACAGGAAAGGGTCCTAAGTGTAACAAAAAAAAAAAAAAAAAAGCATCACAAACCTCTGTGTATTAATGTATGATTAGCTTATTATTTAGCTGTATTTAACTGCCATAGAAGATAAATAATTAATTAATAGTAGTCAGTAGTCATTAAAACCTCTCTGCACTGGATATAATTCCCATCTGTTAGTCAGCTGAGCTGGATGAAAGAAATATTGACAATTTTTTTGTGAAACAGAAACATGGTACTCATCAAAGATACTGTGTTGACACTGAAATCACAAACTCATAGCCTAAGGCCTGATGCTGCCAACAGATTTGTGTGGGTGGAACTTCTGGTCACTCCTAGTAGTAAAAAGATCATAATGGTAGTTTAAGTAAATATTTGGAAAAATGTAGGAAATACTGAGTTGACCTCAAATTAGCAGCAAAATTACCACTATTACCCCTAAAGCCAGGTTTTAACCCACCATCTAGAAGTGGATTTGAATGCACCAACAGTTCAATAAATGTCAATTTCATTATGAAGTAGAAAGAAAGAGTTTGAACTTTTTCTGCTAAGTTTGCCTGTGTACAGAGGTCTTTTATAATATAAATTTAAATACACAATCTGTTTTATAATGTTTTCCATCAACTCTCTTCTCCATATGTTCTCCCACTAGGAATCTAATGAGTTCTACATATGAGGGATGACAAGGGAATATGCCTGAGAAATAATTCCAGCAATAATGGCATATGGAGGCATTGTTTTTGAGTCACTTTTGCCATGAACATTAGGCAGAGCATCTGGGACCAAATTATGTCTACCTGCCCATGGACATTAGCAAAATCATCATCTTCCATTTGTAAATTCTGCTGAGGTAATCTGACATACAGAGAGGACCATTTCATCAGCTTTATGATTGGGAGCATATTGAAACAGAGTCCATTTATAGCTAGAAAAAAATGCTTCTCTTTAGAAAGAATAGCTCAAACTAGAAGATAAGATAAAATTATAGAAACATTGTCTCTCTCTCTTCTCTCTTGTGTTGAGTTCCAGGCCACTATTTACTAAAAAAAAACTTTCTCATTATTACTGGAGTTTTGAAAGAACTGACTGGATTGCAGGACATGAGAAAATGACCAAAGAAAAATAAAAATAATAAAAATAGGCACAAACTCTAAATCAGTAATATTAGGGATTATATTCTCTGTGCCCAAATATGACAAGGCATCTGTAATTAATCATAAGGAGGAAACAGACTAAAAAAAAACCTACTTTATATGGAGACATAGTGACTAAAGTAGCATTTTGTAAGTTCTGATTTAAATACTAAGACATAAGGCTGGAGTACAGTTTTCAAGTACAGTTTCTGTCATGTTTGTTATGACAGTAAGAAGAAAAGGGTTCAAGAGATTCAACCACTATGCTTATATGGAGTAAACTAGCAGCTCTCCATACTCTTTATACTCAAGAAAAATGTCTCAGCAATGTGAGTAACATAAGTATTTTTACGTGTTGTTTTCCCAGCTGTGCAGTTGAAGCAGTGAAAGCCATAAGTCCCAAACTGCAGTGTCCTTAGGTTACCTCAGTGTTGTAGCAGAAAAAAAGAATATCCCTGCTGTTACAGAGGATCTAAACCAAATTTTACATTTCACAGTTATGAACATAAATATAATTTGAAGAGCTGATATAGAAGTTTTACTGTTAGGGTTACATATATGCAATAATATTTCTATTACACAAATTATTTATTTAATTTAGTTGATCAATAAACTGGTTTTCAGAACTGAAAGCCAGATATATTTCAAGTCTTTCAGCCGCAGCTAATATTGATGTGATTAAGGACATTTAATCAAGAGACTCTGTTATTGAGGAATAATTGGATTTCACTACCAATTGCTACACAGTTTGACCTGTAGACTTGCAAGGAAAGAGTGTAAACAGAGAGTAGTTTCTTTAACCATTAACCTGAATAGAGGAAATAATGTGAACTTTAATGAATTTGCTCAATCAGAATTTTCTAAACAAAATGCTAAACATTCATCTGCATCCGATGGCCTTTTACAAACCATACTGAAAGCACCCAGGTGTCTTGCCTTTTTTGTCATCTGCCTTTGGAAAAAAATCCCAGAGACATGGGTCAGACCTTTCCTACAACCCAGAGAACAGGTCTAAGGTCCTATTGTCACCTCCACAGCCATATGTTCAGGATGCTGACTTTGCCCTGTGCTCACATGCTGGATCCACTTCCCCAGACCCTACATCTCTGGTGGTGAAATCATACTTCAATTGTTTGACTATCCCGGCATCCTATTCACAGTAGTCTGATAAAGAGCTGTCACTCGCTTACACAAGAGTTTCCAGTGTCACCATCAGTGGCCCTCCTTCCAGATGGTCTTAAATTAGTTTAAATTAGTTTAAATTAGTTTAAATTACAACACTTGTAATCTCACCTGTTAAAACAAAGTTGTGGGAAATTCAACCTTTTCATATACTATCTCTTCCGTAGTACAGATGAATACAGAATATACAAGAAAACCCAGACATATTTTGCTAAAATATTTGCAATGATTGTAAAGTAGTGTCCAAAAGTTAAATAAGCTCTTACAGAAACAAGATCAAAGATGTAATCTGGAAATATTCACTCATTCTGTGAAAGAACAAACAGAAAAGTTTTTCAGGATACAAACTGTGTTATAAAGACAAAGTGATTAGGAAAGTCTTATTTTTCAATTTAAGACCACTGAATCCATGAAGAGTCATTTAATAGCATCAGATTGTTCAGGTGTAACAGGTTTGATGCAGAGCTATCTAACTTTTGGCAAAAGGAAACTAGAAATTAGGGCAACAGTTCTCTTGCAAATAAAAACTGTGCTCCTTTTCCTTGCCAATAGATTGGTTAACAACAGATGTGTAAAATTTGAGGCATGGAGGAGGCAGTAAATCAACAGAAAAGGATGCCAATCACATATTTCTGTTTTGTTGATACAGACTTCCAAGCATTACCTAGAAATTATAAAAGCCAACTCTACAATTACAATGAGAAAAAAAATCCCTGCATATATTTTTATGAAAACTAACAAATTAGATACTTTATATCAGATTTTTTACTTTCAAAATTAATGCATCTGATGCACTCCTAAAGCATATAGATTCTTAGCAAAACAGAGCTGCATTGTTTTGGTGAAGTACTGAAATGCTACACCAGTAACATTTTTAGGCAGAGCTGAAGGAGTCAAGATTTAAAAGATACAGGATAAATACAGGAATTGTGAATATAGAGCACAGTAGGTGTATTTATAGGTAGTAACAGTGTTAACTGAGCGGTGCTGTTTCAAAGGTTAACATTCTTTATGACCAATAAACCACATACAACCAAAATCTAGACATGAATTTTTTAAAATTTTATTTTAGATTTGATCTGATATGAATATTTTTTTTCATTAAGATTCATATCAGGATTTCCTTTTGTGTTTTGCTGAACTGATCCAATACATTTAACTGTGAGAGATATGAACAGAGCAGTGATTTTTCTTCCTCTCTCAATGCACTGCTACTTGGAACTGCAGAACATCATATTCTGCAGTTTAGAGTTCTTGATTACTTAATTCAAAAAGTAACTTGGATTTCTCTCTGATCCTAATGCCTGATCATTTTTGCAATCAGATAAAACAATCTAGAAAGTAGTATATAAATGAATAAATTATTAATAGAAGCAATTCACATGCTCATATGAATGCACATAGCTGATCCAGTCACCTGTACTCCATTTTCAAAGGAGCATTAAACCTGCACTGTGGATACCTGAACTGTGGTTTCCAGCTTGATCAAGGTGCACAAACAGATCTGAGTAACTGGATTTCTTTTTTCTTTTCTTTTAAACAGTTCCACAAATTAAGCTAAACATTACTTTTTCAGAAATGTCTTGTTGCTATTTAAAACATCTAAATGATAATTCTTCAGGATTCACATTTTTTGAAAAAAAAATATTCAATCTGACCTAAAAACAACAGTATACCCACTAGAATTTCCCATAGGTATCAGTTTCTTTCAAAAAGGACATTTCAAAGTGGTAGGAAATATGAAGTTAATAAAACCATTGAGATTCCTATTTGTCAAAAAAATATTTTGTTCCATGAGTAAACAGATCCCCAATTCACACATTCATACAGGGAACTCTATTTTATATTACAATTTTATTCACTTGCTATGAATAGTCACAACATTAATCTACTGCAGAGAATCTATTCAGTATATTTGAAAATCCATTTATTTTCATTTATTGGTATGCATGTGTTACTCTTGTATATAATACAGTATTTTCAGTGCTGGTTAAGAAGTAGGAAACAAAGAAAACATGTATTGAGAAACATGATGTAGATTTTCAACCAAATAGAGGTAATATTTAGATTTTACAAAACAGCACATTTATGGTTTGTACTGTCCCAGACAACCTCTTTAAGATGCTACCGTCTATCCTGAACCTCAACACAAAGCCATATAATACTAATTCATCCTAAAATACCAAGAGACTTAGTTTCTGCTACAAATGGTTTATTCCAATTAAATTTTAATCAGAAAATAAGATCTTTTTCTGTCAACATATTTCCTATTATTTCCCAGCAAAATGATAGAATATACTTCTCAGTTTTATTCCCAACAGTCATTTATTTTACTTAAGCTCTCCTGTGCAATAATACAGCAGAGGTAATGAAATGCTTTTGGAACAGCAGGGGCTACAGTGACAGGCAGAGCTTGCCAGGGCGTTCATCCATCACAGAACTCAATATATAACTAAACTAGCCATGTCAATGGCTTTTAATGATTAAACCATTTCTTTCTATTCCTTTTTTTTTTTTTTTCCTTTCTTTTTTCTACTTTTGAGGGGGTTTTGCTGTGTTTGCTAACCACACAGGACTTAAGCTTACCGCTATGTATTTTTGACTACCATTAAGTGCATGTGGCTTTCATTTCAACTCACCAAAGCATCCAGTCAGAACTCCCTCTAGTCAGTGTGTTTATGCAGTGTCACTAAAAGGAATTGCCCAATTTCTTTCGTATCAACATTACAGATGGTACAATATACATTAAATGGAGTATAAAATTATACATTCTGTAATAACTTAGTAAAAAGCTCAAAGATGCTTAAGGCCTTCAAATATTGAGGATTTTTTCATGTAACAACACATCGCAAAGTTCAAGAATTTCTAACAAAACCAAACAGATCTGAATTGGATGACTGTACACAAGCAAAATACCCATAAAGTGTAAAACTGGGAGAGCACTAGGACTTTTTTCCTTTATGGCAAACAGACTGAGCAGACATCTAGATAAGCATCCATCAGTATTTAGGTTCAAGCAAGAGATTTTATTTTTTAATAAAAAGACAAAAATTCTGAATGATTACCATCCAATATCATAACTGCAAAACTCATTTACATCCCTGCCTACCTTTGTAAAAAGAGGATGAAATAGTGTAATTGACTGCTTACCATCAATTTAAATGAATTAAAGGTTAGGAAAGTAAAGTACATATTGGGTACACCCATTTCCTTCAAACTAAATGGAAATGTATATATTAAAGATATAAAATGCCTTATTATTGAAGTGGTAATTGAATTTTGACCACTACTTCCTTTAACTGTTAAGCTGCAGTAGTTGGTTAGCCTTAGGGAAACATATCAACCTGACTATACATTCTAATATAACTGATGTATTCAGATACTATTACTTGTCAACAATAATTATTAACAATGGATATATAATTCCATTCCTATAACAAAGCAACTTCAAGATGTTGAAATATGTACCTTTGAGAGCTGCAAGATTAGAACACAAATAAAAATATCTAAAACTGCGCCATGCTTGAGGACAATTTCTGCAAAAGAAATTTAATTAAAGCAGTGTGCAGTCCCACCAGCAATCTGAACAGTGGACCAAGGATCATTTTAGAGTGAAGGATCCAATACATTTCAGAGTTTGACTTCTTCAAGATGAAAAGCCAGTGATCTGTAATGGAGAACCCAAAAGTTTGCTGCTTTTCTGCACCTTTAGAATATTAGCTCATGATTACAGCTGCAAATTCCTCAGCAAGTGCAATTTTACAAGTGTACACAGTTCAATCAGTTGAAATATTTTTGACATAGAAGTTTAAAATAACTTTCCAGTAGTTTTGATCTCAAGGCTGTTGCTGATTGCAAGCCAGGTTCTCATTGAAACAATTGATTCTGAAGGATACAGCCCAGCAGTATAAAATTTCACTTCAAGGACTGCCCAGAGGAATGAAATTCCTATGTGTTGTATTTAATGTTATCAGCCTTGAGACTGTCTTGATTTGTCTTTAGCTATCGGGTTACCTGTAAAGAAAAAGAAAATGAGAAAATCAAAAATTGGACATAGTCAAACTGCTTCCGAAGTGCTGGAAACAGACTGAAGTGTAAGATCTCTGTCCAGCAAACTTCTTTTGATTGTTTTTAAATAAGGGAAGAAACCCCAATGGTATTAGAGGGTATTGCTCCTCAACTTAAATTGTGTTTTTAAGTGCTTTGTGAGAATAGGATTTGAAAAGGAGAAATTGAAATATGACCATGCTTAAAACTATAATAAAATCATTAATTGTCAACCCACAAATTTCTGTTTTCTGTTATTCTTTTTCAGTTTTGTTAAAAATTCTGTATGGTAACGACTATGCTTTTTATATGTTAGCTATTGAGTATACAGTGACTGATACTGGAGCTGTATTCTTCCATCCTTTGCATGCATCTTTACAAAACAATCATAACACCATAGAATCATTTAGGTTGGAAAAAGCAATGTTCTTTTAAAGGCTTAATGCATCTTACCAAGCAATAATCACTTAGGGAAGAAATAGGACAAAACTCATGCACAAGTTAACAAGAGATAGAGATCCTGTTATTCACAAAGTAAAAAATTACCAATGATTTAATTTAGAGTGGTTTCACCCAGTCTAACATGAAACAAGAGGGAAACAGAAGGACCTCAGAGAAAGAGTGGGGGACAAAGCATTTCACAATAATTTTACAATAATCCCTCTCACTGATCTGGATTTTAAACTTTAAAAGAAAAAAATTGTTATATCAAAGAAACATAACTTTGAGGAATATTTCTGCTGTGTCAGTGGATACAATTAATCATCACATAGTCTTTTAATATCAAACTGTGTCAGGGGGAATGTCCCAAGGCTTGAGGTACAACTCATTGGAATGGTCACAACGGTTTATGACACCAAGGGGCATATGCTTTTCATTTGGATCACAGAGACAAGGGTCATGCTCCTTAATGATGAAACATTCTTTTGCCCTCAGCAAAACTGTTTGCATACAGCTCTTGTCAGCTCTGCAGAGCATAAATGTAGAACAAACAGAATATTAAACAGACTGTTTAAGGAGTTCATTACTTCAGCCTGCCATCTCCACAAAGCTGTTTCTAGGAACTGCACTTGAGGCAATAATAAAATTGTGCTTCGTGATTTTTATGATACATGGGTTTATTTATTACATTGCTTTTATTTTGCTTTGGTCTTGCTGTTGGAAACAGCCTCACGTGGTCCCTTCTAAAGTGGAAGATTGCCTGAAAAAATAATAAAGAATTAATTTAACAGTCAGGCAATATATTTCTGTGCCCTGCACCAAAGCTCAAAAGGCTGATGCACCATCTTTTTTTTTTTTTTTTTTTTTTTTAATTTATTGTAGCAAGCTGGAATTCTACTCATGGAACCAGGTGCCATCGAGCTACACAATGTAAAATACACATCTTGTGATACTATCTGGAGGTGAAATTTTATTGGCTTCATTTGTGATACATGTCTCTATATCTATATCTATGTCTAACTATCTGTCTATCCAGAAACGAGCCACTAAGGAACATAAGGAGCATCTCATATGAGGAAAGGCTGAGAGCATTGGAACTGTTCAGCCTGAAAAAGAGAAGGCTCAGGGGGGAAAGATCAATTTGTACAAATATGTGAAGAAAGGGTTGCAAGAAAATGCAGGCAGACACCTTTCAAGTGGTGCCCAACAGCAGGACAAGAAACTGAGAACAAGCAAACACAGGCACTTCCCTCTCAGGAAAAAGTTTTTTACTGTGAGGGCGACTGAGCACTAGCACATATTGCCCAGGGAGATCGTGGGCTCCATTCTTGAAGATATTTAAAAGCTGTCTTGTCCTTACTAGCTTTAGATGTCTCTGCTTAAGCCAGGGGGTGGCACTTCCAGAATTGCCTTCCAGTCTCAACTATCCTGTGATGTAAGATTTCTATTACACCCAGTTCTACACATGGGCTAAGCTGATAAACTTAAGATAACAAGAATTGTATTTTTGCACATACATGACTGCTCAATTACATGGCTGTTTTGAAGTGCAAATGTATTTTCAGTCATAAGAAAATTCAGTAAAGTCACAATCTGTAGGGTTATCTGCTCCCCACCCCCCCCCCCACCAGCACTACAACCCTGTGGTGAAAATATCCCCATGAAAGCAACATACACTGTCACATAAATTGGATAGGTAATAAAAATAATAAGAAAAAAGAGCAGATAGCCATTTAGATTGCTGCTCTATATCAGGTCACTCACCTACATATATATATATATATATATATATATATATATATATATATATATATATATATATATATATATATGTATATATATACATACATATAGTGGTCCACATTTGCCTCTGTGTATGATGTTAATACTTCTTATTTTCAAGCATAGATTGCAGATCAACATTAATGAAAGTTATATATCCATATACCATACATGGCAGGGAGTGAATAAACCTCTTGGTTTCTAAAGGCAGTTTCATACAGAAGCAATGAAATTTTAGCTAATACCTAGTGATGGTAATCCCAGAAATGCTTAATTTTGGACATAGTAAATACTATTTGATTTAAGTGTCTGGGAAGTAAGGTATTAAGGTAATGTGCCAAAGGCCTTTATAGGAGAAGAGGGACCAGTAACAATATGTGTCTGATCTTCAAAATCCTTAGAGAACAGTAACACCCTGAAGCATGCAAATCAAGTTTTCAGTTAATAATTAATACGTATGGAAAATTAACAATACAAATTTTAAAAGCACATGAAACCTTTAGCATGCTAGGTGTTGATTTGAATTAATTTGTTCATTCTTGGAATGCAATTACTCTCTTTATACTAATACATTTTCTCACATAGTTGTTATATCATAGATACACCGCATTAGATGATCTTCATTTTCCTATCCTAAATATGCAATTAAAGCATAATTACTCTGCAGTTTCAGACTTTTTAATTTAAATTAGTGAGTGGCTGCTGTAAATTGGCTGTAATTGTATGTGGACTCACTTGTTTTATTTTAACACAACAATACATAATTAAATGCACCTGAAGATTTCCACTTTATTCTGCTCACTAAATGTTCAGAAGAAACTCAGTCTTTAGGTAAAATCTTCTTGCCAGGATAATGCAGAATGGATCAGAGATTAAAAGATCTCATGACATCACATTAGAAAAGCGACCAGCCTCAAGAGATTTTTCTGGACAACTACAATGGGTGGAAAATATCCTCATTTTTGAAATCCACACAGTGGTTGAATACACCAGATAATATTGTTTATTTCATTGGAATAGATTTTCAATAAAAACTAAGTCTGATACTTTTACTCAGGACTTTCTTCTGCCTTAGAAAAGGAAGGAAGAAAAATCATGACTAGAGGATGTAAAGAATGGCTGAGAGAATATTCTCTGAATAGTAAAGCACTTCTCCCTAAATTCAAGCACCTCAGCATCAAAGCTACAAAACCCCAATTAGATATAGTAAAAGTCTTCTGTTTCTTCAGAGAAACAAATATATCACAAATCATTAGCTATCTACAGAATAGCTTCTACATCCAAAATTAGGCACATAATAAATTATTATTTAATAATGTTAGAATAAAATAGATAACAATATATGGTGTATTGAAATTAAATGTGTGCTGGAAGGTTTCATAACAGAACTTGTACATTACTGTTTTTTGACTGCCAGCTTTTTGAATTTTTTCTGTGTTTATCAGAAGCCATGCACAAAATCCGTATTGAAAACTGAGTCTAAAGTTTGCAAAGTCAAGCACTTGAAAGTTAGCACCTTGCCTTTTTGTATGTCCCCTTGCAATTTAATTCTCTCTCTTTTCTATCATGCACAGTAAAGAAGAGACTTTAGTGCGTGAGGAGAGTTGGAGGGAAAACAGAACTATATATCAATGCAAATGCAGAAAAGGTAAAATTTTAAGCCAGTGTTTCTTGCCTTGACAGATGATTCCACATGGAATGGATGCACCCTCTGTTCTGGGTTTTCTCCAAAGAAACAGGAAGTACTTAATAGAGGATTTTTTCTTTTTAATTAGAACTGTTCCATTGACCATATAGGATTGTGTGTGATCACAGGTCATGTCATCTAAGCATACTCAAGCTGTCTTTTTCTTTTCTTTTCTTTTTTTCTTGAGATATGTAAGACACAGAAAGGAAATTACTTTTTGTGAAAGCAATTAATAATTCACCCTGAGCTAAGCATAATTTATTTAATAACCAATGTGAGATATGCTAAACGCAGGAAATGACAAAAGCCATAAGGAATGCCTTGAAGAATTGCCTACAATGGATTGTCCTCTAAGTCCTGGAGAAAAGACAGAGATCCCATACCAAAACAGCCCTTGTTTGTATGCAGTATATTTCTGTCCATTTTGTGTCGTTGTGATATCCTTTCTTATACTGCATGCAAAACACCACAAAACATTAATAAAATGATTAACAAAGTGACTCTTTAGGAAACCTTTCCTAAGAAGGAATGAACTCAGGAGAGCTATATCACTCATTTTTTTTTTCTCTAACATAAATAATTTTGTTGTGGTAGGAAGAACTTAATATAAATACTACTGCGTAGAAACAGAAGGGCCCATATAACCAGAAACAAATATCTGCCAGTGCATTTTTTCTACTCATGCCCTCTGAGAATGAGGTTGAGGTTGGAAATGGATCTTTTTAACAGATGGAAGCACACTGTTTCCTGGAACTTTAAAATCCATACAATGTGTTTGCCATGCACTATCATTCATACATGGCTTGTGAAAGCAAATGACAGCTTGCATTGCCACTCATGCATGTTCATTCACTGAAACAGTTCAACTTGTAAGCTTGGAAAATGCTTCTGTTCTAGTACCAGTGATAATCCAAAGTACTTTGCAAATGTTAACAAAAGACAGGTTCACCATTTCCTCACAGATGGATAATCATGTAGTTTATGTTCCAATGAATTGGGAAAAGTGGACAAAAAGATGTTAAGGACCTTTCTGGAATAAGGCTTGTATATGTATAGACACTTTACAGTAGGTAGATGTGGATTTAGGTCTTAATTGCTAGATAACTGGGTTTCTGGAGGCAGGAGGAACCATTTCAAAAGCATGAGGAATAAAGGTGGCTCAGGTGCATTTCAAGGGAACTTCAAGAAAGAATAATGAGGAACAGGCTCTTATTTTAGTATTTCAGACAGCTCTTTGATTGGACTAATGACAAGAGGCAAAATTTGAGTCACTTATGAGCAATCTGGAAAACAGGTATTTAATGATAACTACATGGATTCAATTACCTTCAGAGAACGTTATGTATTGGAAGAAAATTTTTGAAGTCATCAAATGTTTCATTCCTGTTTATAAAATTCTGATCTACCTAACTTTTTATATAAGAACTCAAGAGCTTCTAATTGTTCCCTTAGTTTTATTTTAGGCACTGCAGTATGAAAAGTATTAATCTAAACATGTTCCCAAGCTTGTTGAGCTATTAGAATTCTAGATCCTCATGCTTGTCCTTCAGGAGCTATGACTAGCTCATTTTATTAATTAAAAAGAGTATTTCCCAGGACACGACTTAAAAGGTTATTTGGTCTTTGATAACCATGAGATTCTGAAACCTTATCATTCTTTCATATTTTTATTGTATATTGACTACTCAGAACTGCACTTGTAATACCTCCTGTGCTTAGGACTTCCATTATAGAGAGACAACATTCTGAAAACTCATTTCATGCAATGCCATTTAAATATAACTGCACCCCTTTATTTTCCACTGCTCTTAAGGATTTCAACAGTAAATTTTTGGTGGCAAAGTGAAGATCTAGACAATGAGTGTTAAACATTTTAATTGAAACTAAAGGTCTTTGGAAATCTTTCCCATGTAAAGAGATTTTTTCACTTACTTCAAATAGTTTAAAAAGTAGGACTAGTAAAGTGTAATGGAAAAATACCTCAGAGCATGGCATATGTGTCTGTAAATGATAGAGGTCTTCATCTTTAACACAATTTTAAGATAGACAACTTCTAGCCCATCTTAGGAATATAACGGAAATACCCAATTCTTACTTTTTTATGAAATTTAAGTAATTCAGTATGTGATACTGAGCTTTCAACTACAGATACCACACCAGACTGGATGTATTAAGATGGACTTCTCTTCCAAGAGCATCTGCTGTTTTTCCATGAGAGTAAGTAACTTAAGCTTACCAACTGGGTCTATCTTTGAAAGTCAAGAGTGTGAAGATATTTTAGGGCTCCCAGAAGCATATAAGTAACACTCTGAGGCTGCTTAGTAGCACAGTCAGAATCTCTCCAACCACCCTCCAAAAACTACGCCCAAATGAGCCACAAGTCTTTAATGTCCGCAGTAAACTAAGCAACTGCAATGAGGAGTAAGGTACAACAATTCCTGTAAATACTATGTAAACCTGTATTTGTACACACCTGCTGCTCTGTGAGTAATAAACCGGGGCTGGAACACATTTTCTGGAGTGGTTTGACTCTTTATTCCTCACCGAACCTTCTGGCCCCTCCTTAGAATCCGACCAAGACTAGGATTCATCACAACTAGTGCTCCAACGCGGAGCCAGAATATTTTTTGTGTGTGGAAAAAACAAAAATTGTCATCAGGCACAGCAGAAACCTCCTTTCTCTACTTCTCCATTCGGACTTGAGGAGTTTTACACGTTTGCCTAAGAAACAAACACATGTCAAGTACTACACTGTTATGAAATTAGTTACAGAAAACAAAACTGGGATAGTTGTAATATTTTTTCAACTTACAAGGAAAAATACAAAATGACAAGTTAAAACATCAGAGAAAATTTTCTTAGGAAAAGTGCATGGTCTTTAAAATACCCAAACATACTCAAATTCAAACCAAAAAGCAATAGAAACTGATAGATAACACTCATTTCTGAAAGTATATCAGCAAAATTTAAGTATGACAAAACAGTAATTGAGAAGTTCTTTGAGAATAAGTTCCTACATAGACCTGTGGTACAGAAAGGAGTCATGAAGTCAGAAGACAATTCCTTCAAAATGAAAGCTTTTAGTGTGTTCTCCTCATATATGTTTAAAGTAAAAAAAAAAAAAAAAATTAGAAGGTTACAGGAAACACTATAAAATAACAGAAGACACATTACACATTTCAAAAGTCAATATTCAATTCAGATAGATAGCTCTTTTTCTAGATATTTCAGATAGACTTTGAACCTATAAATAATGATTCCTTCTGAAGTGATACACAGCATCTCAAAAGATCACGAAAATTTCTGTTTTCTTCTTTTATTTTCTTCCCTTTTAACTTTAATATACAGCAGGGCATTGAAAAGATACAAGATTAAACTCAAAACTTCAAAAGTTTCTTGCTTAAATAAAATCTTTACATATTTGAATACTATGAAACCAATTAATATGGTCCTGTGTTCATATTTCCTTGAACTGGATAGTTTACAACTGGGACAATTATGATAGTGAATAGTTTATGAAGATATATGAGTTACATTAAGGCTAAATTCAATTCATTAGTCCTTCCTATGTACTCATTATTACTGTCTTCCAAAAGGTTATGTCACTGTATTGAACATACCCTAATTTTCCTTTATGTTTCTGTAACTCAGTAGAGAACAGAGTTCATTGTAGAATTATTTTAATGTAGTACGATGTTTAATTTACAAACAAAAGTTTTATACTAAAAGAAGACTTAAACAAAAACCTTATTTTACTTTCTGTAGCAGATAATAACTGCAACAATTCAGACAAGGATATATCCTCTTGAGGTTTTTATGGTGCTCACAACTCCATATTGGGACTGCAGCATGGCGGCATAAAAGACTGCAAGACAATTAATTACATAAATGCAATTTTTTTCTCATCTACACCATTTATCCTACGTAATCATCCCAACTGGGAGATAAAAACAACCTCTTTCCTTTTAATATATGAGGAAACTGAAGCATAATAAAGTCATGTTACCCTTCCAACTGTCAGGAAGTAAGTGGAAATGGAGAGATGGGAACAGAGTCCTTTTGTCTTTGGCTTTATCTGACATCACTTACCTATGGAAAAAGCTGCACTTGTTTTTTATTGGGAAGGAAGGAAAACCTATAACAAGCAGTTTTCTGTGTTTACATTCTAAATATGAAAGAGCAAAGCAAATTTAAAAAACTCAAACTCAACCTTGTTTTAAAACTAGACTGAGGTTCTAAGCTGCCTAATAGGCACAGAGGATTTTCATATTTTAATATATTTTTCCAGAAATGGGGTCAGACTGAACTTCCAATTATCCCCACTAAAAAAATAATGTAGTCTAAGTTAATCAAATTTGAGAAATTTTTCCTCTTCAAAATGTATGTTGTAGGGTTTTTTCCCTGGTATTTTGAATGGCGAGTAACAATCCATTTGGACAAGTTCAAAATAGAAATGTAAATTATTTCCTTACCTGTAATTTTATCTTCTCTATAAGAATACCTGCTGTTCTGTTAGTGCAGTACTGATGTGTTTTCTGCCTTTGTCCCAAGCTTCAGATATTCCTCTGGTGATTTTTCCCCACTTGCTTACCAGCTTCCACTACTGGCATTTTGAGGAAGTGCACTCACATTTGGCTCCAGGAATACTGCCATAGCTGAGGGAATATAAGACAACTAAAAATCATGTTAGAAAACAGCAGAACTAATATCCAGGAAGGAAAAAATATTTAAAAACAATGAATCAGTCATCAACTTGAATCCCTTCAATCATTTTCCTTTTTCTTTTCATCCATTTAGAATTTCCATGTGAAGGCTTTTCTGTGCTTGGAGAAATTTTGGCTTAAAAAATGGGTACTGACAGAGTAGTGGGTACCCTTTCAGAGAATATAAAATTAATTTCAGGAAATGTAATTTTAACCTTCTCCTGTATGAGTACCCATCATGCCATCACTCCAATACAGAGAAGAAAGAGAAGAAGTAGAAAAAAGAGAAGAAAGATAAGAAACGTGGCAGATTTGGAGGATTTCAGAAAAATCTCTGATATCTTTTCTCAGGTCCTAATAGAAATGTGGAAAAGGAAGACTTGGCTTTTCACCCAGAGGCTGTCATTATTGAACAATATGAAGTATTTCCTATTGTCCAGGAAAACAACACATAAAGTCTCTTTCACTAAGACATAGTAAAGATTATGGTTTCTGATTCCCAATAGTTGTAGTCATCTTGGGCAAAGATGAAAAGAACAAGTACTGTCAGTTTAATAAGTAAATGTTTTCTTGCTTGAGCATTATGAAGACATCCAGGTGAAAATTACAACGCCTTGTAACATCTCTGTACTTAGGATCACCTGGATACTATTTTTGAACTTCACAGCACACAGAAAATAAGTATTCTGTCAAAGCTAAAAATGAATGCTAGGAGTTTCAACTAAGAACCTACTGTGGTATTCAACTTAAATTGTCTTTCTTATAGAACCTGCCTAGTTGTCTTGATATATGCATTTTCTCATTATCTTATCTAAATAGAATATGACCTAAGACAAAGTATGAATGAATCAAAGTAGCTACTTGCAATTAGACACTGGAATTCTAAGATCTCAGGTAGTGAAGGAAAGACAAAAAGACTCAGAAGAGGTCATTGACTTCAAGTTTCAGGAACGTAAGTACCAATTATGTGATTTAAGGTTGCGAGAAAGAAAAAGGATTCTCGCAATTTCCTGATTGACCTTCAAAATAGTAATTGGCTTTCCAAGAAATAGGCTCCAAATTTGTCAAGTTGCATTCTAGAAGAAAGTCTCCTGCTTCTTTTTTGTTCTTTGTGGATGAGGAACAAGAATGATTAGAAAGTGGCATTGGAATGATGCTTTAAAGATGAGAAATTTACATTTTCCAAGGTCACTCTGACAAGGAATCAGGATAGAGAAATGTCCAATTCTAAAACAACTAATCTGATTTTGGAGTGCATTTGCCTGAATTAGAAACAGCATGAGCAGACATACAGTCCTTTGGTCCTCCTTTGGTATGAACAAGTTCCTAAGGCATGAAGTTTGAATTCAGGATGAAGAAACAAGTTCTTCTGGCTAGAATCAGTAATTTATCTTCTGACATTCTTCAATCTGAAGAGACAAAACTACAGCTCTATTAAAATTCTCAGATCTAGTACTACTGATTTTGTAGATACATGTTGATTAGACACAATCCATTGTTTCCTTGAGAACCCACTGATCTTCATAAACTGGATATTTTGTAGCTTCACCCAGAATCTGGACTTCAGAGTTCTATGGCATTTAACACTCCAGCATGGAAAGTAATGGATGATAATCAGCACTGTAAGATATAAGAAGGGATCATCTGTGTATTCTAATAATGCAGTAGAAGAAAGCTCAGAGTCCGTTTTATAGAACATGGAAAGTCATTTGGAGTCTTTTCTCTATACATAGCAGTAGTGTCTTTCCTGAAATTGACCTGGTGCTCACCAGGATGGTAGAAGGAGTAAACTACAAGTCATGAAAAAAAATGAGCAGTTTTTAACTTGTTGTTGAAATTGACTCTATGTTGCTCGTCTTCTTTATTGATTTAGTCATAGGCAGCAATCTTCCACTTATTCCTGCTTGAAATTTTTCTTCATTTAGAAGAGTTTTCACAAGAGATAGGACTATCTTCATTATTCTTAGGGAGAAATAGTTAAGATTTACAATCATGATCACTTTGCTATGCAGTGGAATAATGTCTCAGTAATCTGATTTTAATTGGTTTGAGTTGTTCACTCCTCCAACAGTGATTCTGTAGGCTCAGAATGCTCTGTATGTCTTCTAGTGATTCATAGCGATTATTATTCATTTCCTCCCCTATAAGGCAGAAAAGCAGAGCTGCACTAAGGGATGTTTCTGATGTTTTCTATAACTAGGCCTAATGAGTTAGGAAATACCCCAAGAAAACTATATTATTTTGAATAAATGAAAACATTACCTTTTGAACAATTGAGGCCCAGTTTTCCACTCCCTCATACATTTCTGCAACTAAGCAGTGATGCAGAGTTTGTGAAGCCTGTTCCAAATACCCAGGGAAAGAGGAAAAAATTCTGCCTGCAGCTATTTAAGCAGCAGCTCATGTGAGGTTTCAGAATACCCTGGTCTCTCTGACCAGAAATATATCATTTCTGACTTGCAGAAATGAACCAAAGAAGCCCCTACAGACTAAAAAGGAGGGTGAGACAAAAAAGAAGTTTTCGAGCATGCCAGCATGACTCACATGATACTGGCATTTGAATATCATCTTGTACAGGAATTTCTGAGATATTAGAAGCTGACAAAAAAATTCCAAGAAAATTTACAAGGACTAGTAGATATTCAAAAAGTCCTTCTTGCACAGCTGTTAATGGCAAACTGACTGGCAGAATGAAGCTGCAAATGGAAGTGGAAACACCTTTGATTTTGGTGTCAGGACATTGTAAAAGTGGAAATTCATGGGGTGAATGAATTGAAGAAAACTAGTCAAACAGTTTAAGAACTAGGTCTTATTTTCCATCACAGAGGCAGAAAATTATTTTTCAGACATAAGGTCAATATCTCAAACATGCCAGCAAAGGACAAGGCAGAAGAATAAAAAAAAGTAAATCACAAGTTGAATCTTTTGGGACAAAGGCAGAAAACATCTTGGCTGGACAGATGAATTGGAGGATTTGCACATGGAAGAAAGTAATGATTGCAAAAATCACTGATTAGTACTTAATGACATACACTTGAAATCCATTTGCATTTTTCTTTAAATATTGAATAGTTTCCTTTGATTGCAGTGTAATTCTTTCAATGTTCAGGTTCTGGAGAAGCTAAAATGGCACTTTTAAATGCATCCTAGCTGCAGTCTTACCTTTGGAAAAATTCTTCCCTGACAAAAATGCACAAACTACAGCATATACTACAATGCTGTGAGTGTGATGAAGGGATTGCAAAACATTTCATTTCTCATTATTTCTACAGTGTGTCTACTGACAAAAAAAAAAAAAATAAATTATATTGCCCTTTCTGAATCACTTGAAACTATACTCAGTGTATTCACAGGGAGATATAGCAAGGTAATGGATAATCAGCCTCCCTCTTTTCAAAAGATCTGTACCTGTGAATATTGCCTTTAATCCATTCTCCCTTTTGATGTTACTCACTTTCATTCTTCATTTCAGTATCCATAGGACTCAAAGTCAGAGCAGAACTAAACAAAATTTGAAGCTGAAAATATCATGGGATTCGAATGCTTGGATTAGCCTCACGTGCCCAAGTTTTATTGACAAAGTCTATGACTTTGTTTACAGAATTTCATGCCACAACACTTTTTCCTTTAATCCTTTATTCCATAATTGCTCTTTTTCAGATATCTCGGGGTACATTTGCTTTTGGGGAAAGCACCATGACATGTCTAGATTTCTGTGACCACAAAGGAACATCAGCAAGCTGTAGGCATAGACTCCTGCCAAATGGAGACTCATAGCTTTACACAGGGTAGAGCTACGCACAATGACTTCATATTAAAGCAAATTTGGTTTATAAAAGCTATTCTTAGAAAAATCAATAATTTACACAGCCCTCAATACTAATGATTTTTAATATGTGTTGGCTAGCATGCTAACTGTTTCCATCAAAATGCCCAAGTGTCCCAAAAGACTAGTGTTTAGGTGCCCTACAAAAAATACAAAGCTTCAAAATGAAAGAACTGTGGTGCTAGATCAAAACAATAATTACCAATAATACAAAAGTCCAGCTTGACCCTAGAAAATGTCATTGTGTTTCCATTACCAGCTTATATGTCCCCTTAAACTTGTATTTATTCTTAGAAAATATGTGCATACCACTTACTGCTATTTCAATGACAGATTAGATACAGCAGTCTCTGAGTTAGCAATGAGAAACATGCTGAGACAGCTGCAAATTTCTCCTAGTGACAGATTAGCCAAAGGCATGGAAAGAGATACCATAGCAACAAAGAGGCTGTCGCAACTGCAATCACTCTTTCCCACAGGCAATATTTTGCTACAGTTTGTGCACTCACTTATATTGTAATCATATCATTTTTATGAACCTCCAGGTATTGCTGGTCACTGTATATATGTACATTATTCCAATAAATCTTTGTTTAAAATTAAAGTAGGAGCTGAGGAGTCTATACAGAGGCTCTGAAGTTAGGCATAGGAACAAAGTAGTTTTAGAGTGAGGTGGTTTCTTCAATTATAAAACCCTTACATAATAGTAGGAAAAGCACTTCCTGTACCTGACACATGGCAGATCATTGATCCATCCTACAATTATTTCACATTTCTCAGTGGTCAAAAGGCAAATTTTTTTTAATGTCATGTACGTTAATAGCAGTTTTATACTACAAAACATGTCATGTGAGAAATACACTGCTTTCTTAGCACTCACTGACCACAATTCTGCCTATCAGAAACATCCTGGAATAGCCTATACATTGTATTTAAATGATGAATTTCTGATTTTCCTAATTCCATGTCATTACTACTGCTGTTTCTGAAAAGCCTGGAGAAGGAAGAAGAACAAAGACATGAAGGAAGAATCTACCACATATTTAACTTTGGCAGAAAAAACAGTAACACTTAAGGAACCTATGGATAAGTTTCTTGTGTGGAGATGTCCAGACCAACAACTAAC